ACTAAGCAAACAAACAATAAAATCATTGTTTTGTCTTCCAATTCATTTCCCTGTATCTTAAAACAAGATACCTTTGAAAATTTCCTCTATGTATCGCAGAATTCTCACAGGTCAGCTCCATAATATTGCTGCAAAATGAATGCATAATTCACAATTTACCCCTCAAAAACGATCATGAAACCGAAGGACTCAAATTTAGAAATCAAGGTAAGCAAAGTATACTCTTTATTCTTGAGCCTAAATTAGTAAAAGGATCTATGGGTTTTTTTAATATTAAAAGAAAGTATACTATCTTTTATTTAGTTTAAAATAACAAACTAATTAGGAAAGATTTCACTTGGTAAGAATTCTAGGAAATCACATGATACAAGAGAAACCCTGCCAGAATTTTTTGGTTTGAGTTGAAGAGAGTTAAAAGCTAGACTTTAGGTTGTTCTTGAATCTCTACAGTGTTCTTAACTGGAAAGTTACTTCTTTAAGTGCCCTACAATCATGCTATTTCAAGCCCATCTTCTATTTTTGAAAGAAGCTGACTTCAAAAGATGAATGAAACAAACAAGTGCCAAAGTTTCTGAAGCCTCAATTATTTTGCCTTGTGTTCGTCAAGAACCAAAGGCTGTCTAATTGCTCTGGCCAGTGTTTCAAGAATTATGTTAAGTAAAATTGGTGAAAGAAGGCATCCCTGTCTTGTTCCAGTTTTTAGAAGGAATGCTTTCAATTTTTCTCCATTTAGAACAATGTTGGCCTGGGGCTTGGCATAGATAGCCTTTATGAGGTTGAGATATGTTCCTGTTATCCCTCCAAAAAATTCCACCCCAAAACTTTGAGAACTAGTAAATGAATTCAGCAAAGTAGCAGGATATAAAATCGATACCCATAAATCAAAGGCATTTCTATATACCAATGATAAATCCTCTGAAAGGGAAACTATCCCATTTACAATAGCCTCAAAAATAAAAAAAAAAAAAAACAACTTGGGAATCAACAAAAGAGGTGAAAGACGTCTATAATGAAAACTACAGAATGCTAAAAAATGAAATCAAAGAAGGCCTTAGAAGATGGAAAGATTTACCTTGCTCTTGGATAGGCAGAATGAATGTTGTCAAAATGACCATACTACCAAAAGCACTATACAGATTTAATGCAATTCCAATCAAAATCATAATGACATTCCTCATAGAAATAGAAAAAGCAATCATGAAATTCATCTGGAAAAATAAGAGACCCAGAATAGCTAAAGCAATCCTTAGCAAGAAGAGTGAAGCAGGTGGCATCACTATACCAGACCTTAAACTATACTACAGAGCAATAGTAACAAAATAGACTGTTAGACCAATGGTACAGAATAGAGGACACAGATACTAACCCACATAATTACAGTTAAATTATATTAGACAAAGGTGCCAAAAACATACGTTAGAGAAAAGMTAGCCTCTTCAACAAATGGTGCTGGGGAAACTGGAAATCCATATACAACAAAATGAAATTAAACCCTTATCTCTCACCATGCATAAAACTCAACTCAAAGTGGATCAAGGACYTAAGAATTGAACCAGAGACACTGTGCCTATTAAAAGAAAAAGTAGGCCCAAATCTCCATCGTGTCATATGAGGTCCCAACTTCCTTAATAAGACTCCTATAGCACTAGAATTAATATCAAGAATYAATAAATGGAATAGATTCAAACTGAAAAGCTTCTTCTCAGCAAAAGAAACAATCAGTGAGGTGAATAGAGAGCCTATATCCCGGGAGCGAATCTTAACCACTCACACATCAGAGCACTAATCTCTAAGGTATATAAAGAACTCAAGAAGCTAAACACCAAAAAACCAAATAACCCAATCAATAAATAGACCAAGGAACTGAACAGACACTTCTCAGAAGGTGAAATACAATCAGTCAACAAATATATGAAAAAAATGTTTAACATCTCTAACAATTAGAGAAATGCAAATCAAAACTACTCTAAGATTTCATCTCACTCAAGTCAGAATGGCAGTTATTAAGAAGACAATCAACAATAAGTGTTGGCGAGGATGTGGGGGAAAAGGCACACTCATACATTGCTGGTGGGACTGCAAATCGGTGCAGCTAATATGAAAAGCAGTATGGAGATTCCTTGGAAAATTGGGAATGGAACCACCATTTGACCTAGCTATCCTTCTCCCCGGTGTATACCCAAAGGACTTAAAAACAGCATCCTACAAGGACATAGACATATCAATGTTTATAGCAGCACAATTCACAATAGCTAAACTGTGGAACCAACCTAGAAGTCCTTCAGTWGATGAATGGATAAAGAAAATGTGGTATATTTACACATTGGAATATTCCTCAGCATTGAGAGAATAAAATCATGGCATTTGCAGGTAAATGAATGAAGCTCGAGAATATAATGCTAAGTGAAGTTAGCCAATTCCAAAAAAGCAAATGCCAAATGTTTTCTTTGATATAAGGAGGCTGATTCATAGTGGGGTTGGAAGGGGGATCATGGGAGGATTAGACAAATTCTAGATAGGGCAAAGGAAYGGGAGGGGAAGGGAGGAGGCTTGGGGGTAGAAAAGATGGTTGAATGGAATGGATATCATTACCCTAAGTATATGTATGAAGACACGAATGGTGTGAATATACTTTTTATACAACTGGAGATATGAAAAATTGTGCTCTATTATGTAATATGAATTGTAATTTATTCTGCTGTCATATATAACAATTAGAATAAAAAATAAAGAACCAAAGGCTTAGAAATAATAASAAGGCTTTCAAATAGTTATGAGAATGTTTTAATGGACCAGTGATCAACTAGGACTACTTCTTGCCAAATAGTTGATAGCTTGCAAAGGCCACTTACAAATTTGGATTCAGAGACTTGGCTGRATTTCTTTACCAGGGGCCACAAATCTGTCGATAAATCATTCCTTGGTACCAATTCCTAAAGTCACTTTCAGTCACTTCATGAAACAAGCTCATTTAACACCACATATTCTCCCTAGTGTTTAATAAGCTTCAGTATCATTCCTCTTATTTAATTTTCTTCTCCTGMATTAAACTCTAGAGACACAACAAACTTATGCCAACACGTCTCAATAGAATTCCTTCAGATCATCTTTGGGTGATAAAATACAAGGCACTAGTCCCTCATGAACTATTATTACGTGCTCAATTGACTAAGAGTCTGGCCATATAATTACTTTTATCTCAATAGATTTGGTTAGTTTGTTGTTTTCAAAAGAGTTTACACCTCTCATAATTTCTTAAGTTAGGTACAATGAGTTGTATCTTGGATTTTTATTGAGGATAAGGTGAGAGAGAGAGAGAGAGAGAGAGAGAGAGAGAGAGAGAGAGAGAGAGAGAGAGACAAACACAACCTTAGACTCTTTCTGGGTTGGAAATTGGTACCCAGAACCTGAAAGATGACACTGGAGATTGGAATTCTACAGAAGATGATAGTGAATAATATTTTACTTGCAAAAACTATGACTTTGGGTCTTGTAGTTGATTACTATTGTGTAGCCTCATAAAAGAGGAAAGAAAACACAAGTATCTTTAAGCTTCTAAAAGCAAACCTGGTAGTATGCCAATTAAAAAATTAATCAGTGGATTTGGATCACAGTGGGATCAAACACCAAAGAAATGGCCTTYAGAGTTTAGATAGGATGAATGTTGACCTACTTACCACATTCTGTGTGCTCRCTGTACCTTCTGAAGTTGATAGCAGACAGTCCTACCATGACCACGATAGCCTTTGCCTTTTACATGCTTGACTTCCACACCTCCCACTAAACAAAGGCCCCAAATCTGTCCYTTCTCTTTCTGTCCATTTGAACAGAATCACAAGGGAGCATCCACGAAATGACAAATCCACTTCCCCTTCCTCTAGCATTATTGATCTCCTTTCCTAAGCCAAAAGCAAAAATGGTAACTGACTTATATTCCATAAATAAGTGAAATATGAGACCCTCACCAATCCATTTAGTTTCTCAAAACATCTTCTATTCATCCTCTTGCTACTATGTTGGTCACTTAGTCCCAGAGGGATTGCTGCACCTTCCACTGTCGACTCCCCACTCATATCGGACGTAGAGCAGCCTCTCAGTGCTTCATGCCTTACATATCTCTTTGCTTCCAGGCATCTCGAGACTTCAGGGGAAGGACGCGWTGACCAACCTGATGGAAGGTTCACTAAGCTCCCCTTGGTCCTTTTTCTTCTTTCCAAACTCTTTTTCTGGTCTTCATACTAAAAGTTCTGGAAGGTACCCATAGATGAAATCTGTCCTATGCCAGGTAGGCTGACAATTTTGAAGATGCTTTAATTATATTCCCCCCCCCACACACAAAAAAAAAACACATTAGAACAGAGGTTTTCAACTTCAGTTTACATGAGCATCAGCACAAGAGTTTGTTCCAGGTTCCTGGAACCCACCCCTAGAGTTTCTGCTTCAGTAGATCTGGGTTTGGCTCTAAGAATCTGCATTTCTACTGTTTCCAAATGATGCAGATGCTGCTGTTCCTAGACTCACACTGAGAAACACCATCTTAGATTGTTCAAGAGTGGCACTGCTTATTTATTATACCCCTCAGCCATCTTCATGGGATGATAACAGGCTTTTTATAAGAGAGTCCCCCCCCCATGCCTTAGAAGGCACTTGTCCTTGACCCATAGATAATGACAGAACACAGAAAACAGAGACTTAAGTACGAAGTAAAAGAATTCATAGAAATCTTAGCTCATGTTTGTAGATAAGGAGTCAKATTAATGAAAAAAGGAACTCTTTTGTAAGCAAGAATAAAGTTATTTTTACAAAATAAGAAATATTTGGGTATAATACATCAAATGGTACTGTATTCTTTAGTTAGTACTTGGTTGTAAGATAAAGTAGCTCAATTACAGGCTTAGTTACACATGATAGAGGACGGTGGCTCCTAGATTCAGTTAGAAYACTTGACACTACTCAGGCTGTTTATAGCAAGCAGTTCATCTGAGAGGAATAGGCACAAACCATGGTTAAGCTGCTTGGTTTAATTTTTTAGCACTTGAAAAAAAAATGTACAGTAGTTTGAACACTCAGTCTTTGCAAACCTCCATTGAGGTCAAAGATTTCATTCATACGTACAAAATTAGTTTACAAATTTTTTGGCAATTTCATCTTAGTAACCCGTTTTATCCTATTGCCATTGTCCCAACCATTGAAAAAGTTTACAATAATTTACATAGAAATATTTTCAAAGTGCTTAAGAATAGTGATTGTTCTCTGGGGTATTTACAGGTGGCCTATACAATGTATGTACAGGTGGTATACACTATAGCACAAGTTTCATCGCTGGAATATGGCTTTCTAGGGAAAGTGCATATTTGGCCAGAGGTGGCAATACTGTCTAGAAATTCAAGGGTTACAGAYACTTGGTAACCACATCCAAAGCTGAAGTAGAATGTGGACAAGAATATTTACAAAAGTCATATAAAAATGGTCAAGTACACAAGCTTGATCCACGCAAAGAGATCTTGACAATCTTCCAGACAGGAGGAAGAGAGACTTCAGCTGCTGGCTTGGTTACCATTCCGAAGTGGGGCATTATTGGTTTATACCTCAAAGGTTGAGACTGGTCTCAGAAGTCAAGCTAGATCATCATCTGTGCTTACAACTGATATCTGTGGAAAAATAAAAATGTTTAGAATGAACTTGGTGATTACTCACTGGTTGTAACTCTAGTCTCCAAAACGGGCTTTCTTTGTTTGGGGGCTGGTCAGAGACCAAAGTTCTTAGTAGGAAAGGCAGGTACAAAACATGATTAAGTTGTAGCACTCATGCATTTAACCTGAATCAAACTCCTAATCTGAAAATTTGAAATTCAAATTGCTCTAAAATCTGGAATTTTGTGAGCACTGACATAACACTGTAAATGGAAAATTCCACACCTGACCTCGCATGAGAGGATTGCAGTCAAAATGAACACACGCTAAGAATATTGCACAAAGTTACTTTCAGGCTATGTGTATAGGGTGTACACAGGATATAAATGGATTGTGAGTTCAGACATGGGTCTACCCCCAACATAATCTCATTATGAATATGAAGATATTCCAAATTCTGAAAAAACTCAACATTCAAATCAGTTCTGATTCAAAGTATTTTGCATAAGGAATACTCAACTTATACATACTTGGTAGACAGTGAAAATAGCATTATTTATTCTGGCTTTTCTACATAATGGTCATAATAATGCTTGGAGAATAGTGTGAGAAGACACATGTGTGCCCTGAATTGGCCATTACCTGTTTCACCAGAAAGCTTGGAGGGGAGTACTCAGCACATGTTTTGTTTATCCTGTTCCCTAAGTTCCCATAATGATGTGGGTTCCACCTGAAGAACAAGTGAGTGACTCTACTGCTGAAGGAAAAACTAGCTATACTTGGTGGAATGGGGTACTTTATAAGTTAACCATCTAGTAGTATTTTGGCTAAGTGAATCTTACCCAATACCCTGACTTCAAGTCATTTTCCTTATAGGTAATCCCTATGCATGAGTTACTAATTTGCTTTTAGGTGTCCAGTAGGCAAGGAGCTACTTGGTTTGTACTAATATTTACATGTCATTTCTGTAACTAAAAATATCTCAAATATTATAGTGATGACCTTGGTTTGACCTGCTTGCTATCCTGCATGGGTGAGATGCTTATTAACTTACTGACTTACAGTCTTACAAGCTAGTCTGTCTGATATCTGGTAGTGGATGAAATGTTTGGTGGTTCCATGATCCTAAGGCCCTTCTTAGCCTAGATAGCTCAGGCTCAAGTTTTGGTCTCCTTTTCAAAAAGTCTCACTTTAAGCTATGGTATAAAAAGACACAAAGCTGACTTACTGCTGGGTATGTGTGTCCAACAGAAGCACTGTGTCTACCGATGTCTATTGAGAGGTCCTCTTCAGTGGTCTTCAAGTACACAGGGTTATCAAAGTTCATGCTTTTCATGTTCTTGTGTTGCCAATTCCTCCACATCAAGTAGCCACCTACTGCTGCCATCACCAATAGCACTGAAAAAGTTAGAGGGTGACTAAATGAGTTTTAGTTTCAGAACACATAGGAAAGGTAATATTCAGGGATCCATGATAACCAACTTTAAAAAGTTTCATGTTTTAGGGAACTGGGACAACTAGAAATTGGAATATATATGAGCCAGGGCTTTGAAATCAGTTCACCTTAGTGGGTTGTTGTATTCTAAACACTAAGCTAGTCACAACCATCCTTGCAAGTGTACAGTCCTGGGCCCCACTCCCAGGAAGACTAAATTAAAATTTCAGAAGTTTCTGGAGAGCTATTCAGGGGTTCAGGTGTGTTAGGCAATGTTGAAATCCAATAATCTAAGACAAAGAGGCCATTTATGCAAAGTGCCTTAGAATTCATATGTCTTATAACAGCTTCATAGGACTTATAGAATATAAACTAAAAGTAGTTAAGGATTCTCTGGGTTTGAGAATCTTTACCCACCTCTCCTGAAGAAAGAATTTAAGCATTTGTGCATCTCATCTGCATAAAGCATTATGCATATTTCAAAGGTGAATAGAACAGAACTCTTATTAAAGGGACTTATTGTGAATGAGGATAATAGGCTAAAGTAGAAACTCTAAAGTAGAAAGCAATAAACACCTTTCATGAAATTATTGAACATCAGCATTTCCTGTTACTGTGCTAAGAAAACCAATGTGTAGAAAATATGGACTCTGTGTGTACCAGGTGGGGAAAGAGAGTAAGAATAAATCAGTGTCACAAATTCTATGGCAACCTAAGAGGCCATAGGAAGGAGGCTCTAAATCGATGAGCACTGTTCATCAGGTGTCTAAGATGTTCATTAGATCTCCAAGTGAAGGGAATCTACTTACAAAGAGGAAGGATGGCCCAGGCAGCAGATGTTCCTTTTGGGGGAACACTGACCTCTGATACTGCCGTGGTCACATTGATCCCTATAGGAGAATAAAATCAATCAGTTTACAAGAGTCTGAATTCAGACTTGGAAATTTACCCATCAGGTAGAGAGCCTCATACCTTTGCAACCAAAATCAATGTTTAGTAACTAAAATAATGGAATACCAGGAGCAACTCTGGCTTAGGAGTATTTCAGTCACAGGCTGGAGGAGCCATTTCACTCATAATTCTATAATAGAAGCATTACTAAGTCAGGCAGTTCTAAGTCTTCAGAGTTTAAATATAGGTTACCAATCAGGGGCAGAACTAGTAGTTAAAGGCTGCATTAATTATGTACACTATGGATATAAAGAGTGTGGCTGTTAGTGGAGATTAACAGTTTGTAGTACTGAACCCAATACCTCCAGGAACTAGTCCACTCGTTGGTGGAATTTCTGTTGTGTTGGCATCTTTTGTCTCACTGTAAGCCACAGTAGTTGAAGTACCTGGATTACAAAAACCAAGAACCTGGGTAATGCCCAGGTTCCCAAATGGCTAGCAGTTTAGTGTAGACAAGCCATGCAAGAGGTTATTGTAACATCAAGTGAAATAGATGTATGTGTCCAACTTGAGAGAAATAGTAGTCTTCATGCAAAAACAGAAGTACATGAAGCTTTGGGTAGAACAGTTTGCATATGGAATTCGACAATTCAAAAAGATGCACAGCCACACTTAACCCCTGTMAGTAATACCCAGGCTCCTGGAAGTTGCAAGATGTGTTCTCAAGATGCTCTGATGTACCAGGCCTACCAGATGGTCCTGCAGCTATTTTCTCAATAAAGTCTGTCATGACCCAGAATTAAGCTAATAAAAGCCTCGTCATATTCCTTGCTCACAGCAAGCAAGTTTAATTTGTTACTTAATCAAAAACCAAGAACAGAAGATTAACATGCAAGTTCAGTATGAGTTTAAACCAGTGTCACCCACTGAGGCTACAGGTTTCCTGTAACCATGGACTTACTTAAGAATAATTGCAGTGTGCCTTCTGTGGAGGAAAACATTAAGACTTTAATTACCTTCCAGTTGACTAGCTCAGTACTGTTACAGTGCTAACTGGCACAAATTGGAATGAGATACATCGACACCTCGTCACCTATAAATTTATCTAATGTTGAAATAGGTTACAGGTCAGTTCTGAAGTTCTGAGGTGAGCATGTGGCATGCAATAGTAGCACATGTCTGATCTATTTCAAGGGTTAGGTAAAACAGAATTCTTAAAATCCAGGCCAGTTTTTTATAGATAGTGTCTTATTCCTTTCGTATGTACTGCTTGTGGTCAAAATGCAATAAGCCTTACTTTGGCATTCTCGCCCATTTTCCTCTAGATTGTAGCCATTGGGACAGGAACAGGTATACTTTGGAGAGTGATCATTAATCTGTGGTGCTGGAAGGCATAGGTATTCACATCCTCCATTCTCCATATCTTCTTCACACCAATTTTTACCTAGTCGAAAATAAATTCTTTAGAATAGGAATTCAAGTGCTTTCTTTCTCCATGGAGCTTAAACTTGCTTACTTTGTCAAAGCTTCAAGACCAGTAAATGAATAGTGTCAGGGCACAGGAGCATGCTCTAAGGACACAAGATTCTAAGAGGTTCCTTGAGTGCAGAATATGACTTATGTTTTCAACAGGCAGGTCTCGGAAGGAGGCAAGGAAGGGAGATGAAGTTCTCACTGTCTGTCTGTCTTGCAGCACTGGGAATTGAACCTTGGCATTGAACATGCTAGGTATGTCCCCAGCTAGGTATGTCACTATTTGTCCATCTCAGGAGAAGACCAAGTGTATGTTCTCCTGGCTTTACCTTGACTTGCTCTTATACAGTGGAAGGAAAGTTTGAGTATTTCATTTAGATAGATGAGCTGAGCATTTTGAACAGGAGAAAATATGGAATATGGCCAGATGTGTTTGAGGATCTGCACAATCTTATGTGTCACAGGAGGAAGGTAGGTGTTATAGGTTGAACTGCATCCCTCCCTAAAATTTGTATGTTGAAATCCTCACCCCCAGTACCTGAGTATGTGACCTTAGAGGCAGGGCCTTTACAGAGATAACCAAGCTGAGGTCATCAGGTGGTCCCTCATTCAATATGACTGTGTCCTTCTTAGAAGAGGAAATTGAGACATAGGCATGTGAAGAGGAAAGATGATGTGAAGAGAAGGGGAGAAGATGACCATCTGTAAGCCAAGGAAAAAGACCTGGGGCAGGTCTCCCTCTCACAGACCTCAAAAGGAACCAATAAGATGCTAGCATCTTGATTTTTGGATTTAAACCTCCAGAACTGTAAGAAAATAAATTTATTATTTAATAAACCCAATCTGGGGTACTTTGTTAGAGAAACCCCAGAAAACTAGAAGTAGGGAAAGTTTGTGGCACAGAAGCTACTATGGAGACTGGTGCAACAGGCTTAGCAAGAAGAACCAAAGGGGTATGGAAGAATTAGAAATATAATGTCTGACACTGAGGGTTGAAAGAAAGATGACATTCTGAAGCCATTTCCCTAAGAAGGCAGAAATATCAAGTGTGAGGTATCTAAGGTAGAGTGCAGGAGGGCAAAATTTTCATTTCATTTTATAGAAAGTTATAGAGTTGCTCAAGAGCTGCTGATTCCCAGTAGGTTGTGGGTCAGAAGTGACCAATAAGTAACCACTAAGGACTTGCTTCTCTAGGTTACCTGAGGGCTGCACAAGTTCATGATAGACAATGATGTCTTGAGCATCGTTAAGATTGTTGACTAGAGTAGCCAGCTCTGATCCAGTGAATTTATTGGCACCATAGACTGCTTCATTTTCCCCATCTATCCAGTAGACGCGATCCTGAAACAGAGCCCCAACAATTAGCATGCACACCCAGGATTAACAGAAGTCAATTATTTAGGGTCATCATTATTTACTGGCTATCTAATGGACTAAGGTTATTGAATGCTGCTCTGGGACATTAGATGTAAAACTGTAAGAGAAGCAAGTTTAGGTTTCTTGAAGTGCTTTGAGGAATTAGTTTCTAATTTGTACCAGCTTTTAAATGAAAGCAATTTTTCAAGCTGTCCTATACTCTCCTGTCCTTCCCCATCCTTGTTTTTTTCTCATCCAAGTGCTATAGTGACTCAAAGGTGGAAACTCAAATGTGAGACACACAGCTTACCTCAAATATTGTTAGTGCAAGAGGATGAGCCAGGAACTCCAGAGACTTCAGTACTATCCTCCGGTCTTGGCCATTCAAATCCACACTGGACAACATGTGCAACTTGGAATCAAGCCAATAGAGGCGGCTTTTTATAAGATCTAGGTAGAAAAATTGACACCATATGATACCCAATTATGGCCCTGGCTTACAATTAAAATATCTGAGGAATCTAATATTCTACTTTCATGGTTCCTTCTCCAGCAGGGGTTCTTTACTTAATGGTTCCCAAAAACTTATGAAGAAGCATACAGAATCTGTATTTAGATTCATTTGGGGGGACAAATGAAGACTCTCAAAGTAACTGACTTAAGAAATGTTACATGATAGAAAGTATTAAGAGGTTAGATGGCCATATGAGGAAATAGCGAAAAGGCTGATTTCTATAACTTGAACTTCCATCTTCCAGAATTGAGAGAAGATATTTTTTGTTGTTGTTGTTTAAGCTACCTAATACTCATGTTTTTTCACTATTATGACAGCCTAAGAATATTGAAGCTAAATGAATATATATTATAAATACATATTAAATATATATAAACATACATAATATATACATATACACCTATATTTTACATATATATATATACATACATAGATGTAATGTATTTTAATTTGGATATAATGAAAATATGCATGAAAAATAATGTACGTACTTATTTCTATGTATGCCTTCTTATATATTCTTTTTCATCTCACATCTGTTTTTTATCTGTTACTCTGAGACTTAAATATTTCTGTATTACCACTAATACAAATTTGAATACCCAAATATTCAGTTAGCAAAACAAACTGACATCCTGTTTATTAACAGAATTTCATCTTCAAAGATAAAAAGTGGTAGACATATGGATACCTTATCTTGGAATTTAGCTCATAGTTGACCAAAGAATATCATGATTAAAAATGTATTTACTCCTAAAAATAAGGATCGTTGTCTCAAGGTAAAGTATGAAAACTAGCAATTTAAAGTCTATTCAGTTGACTTAATTATAACTTTCTACAATGACCATGTTTCTTAAAGTTTACCAATGAATGAAAATGACACATTTAGCATTAAGGAAACCAGCAACTATCAGTAAATAAACTTGTAAAAATCCAAAAATCTAACACAGTTCTACCAAAGTAATCATTATTCCACAAAATCTCATAAATTTGTCTCTGACAGCAACTTCTGAATGTCACACTTTCTGTCATTTTATATTCAAATAAAAGTGTAAAAAAAAGAGGTTAGAATTTTATAGTTCTTCTTTAATGAACCAGAAGAAAACTATTACAAGCCTGTGATTCTAGAAATGCCAAGGCACCTGTGCCCATCATATTCAGGAGAAGAATCTCCAAAAGCAAGATTCCCTGAAATCGTGTTCCATGTTAGGCCAAATGAACAGCATTATTATTCTGTTAAGTTTACCATTCTATTTGTGTTGTTTGGGTACTCTCATCTAAGTTCCCGCTATAGAGGAAACTAGAAAAGTCATCTGCTGTAATCCAGAATTTACTATGGAGATAAGTGAAAATGCTATGAAGAGAGTTGAATTTGGTGGGTGAGGAGGAAGGACATACACACCAAGCGTAATCCCATTGGGCCACTGGATATCGGCTGTCACCAGCGGACGTCGGTCAAATCCATTCATTCCTGCTTTTTCTATCTTAGCTGGTTCGCCCCAATCTGACCAGTAAACAAAGCTGGGAAGAGGGAGATCAGAATTATGTCTCAGTGGTGAGAAGGAATATAGTGGTAGCTTGAAACAAAATAAATAGAAAACTCTGGGGATTGATTCTTTAGAGACAAATAGTGAGACTTAAGGATTTAATTTATATTCTGGGTAAATCAAATTTCACCCTAAGAATCTACAAGCTCATTAGTAACTGTGGTAATCGGTATCACTCTGACATTTGAGTTTCAGTCCAAAGTCAAGGCTATGTATTTCCTTTTAAAACACTGAATTATCTCAGAGGAGTAAAAGAATACCCTTAAGTTTTATAGTAGGGGCTGACTGATTATGTTCTAATGATACTTAGTAAGGAGTAATTGTGATTACTTTAGTTAACTTCCTAAGCTACCTGTCTATGTGACTTAGTGGCAACTTAAGGAAACCCCTCAGCAATATGTTTCTAGAGAGGCATTTGTTTCAACTGAACTTTTAAACAACTTGCACTTTGGAAGCCTTCAGGGACTATGGCTTAAAATCCCAGCATTTTATGCTAGTATTTAAGTTCAATAACTTAGAACTAACCCAGCAAAGTTTTCAGACAATGATGATGATGATGATGATGATGAGGAGGAGGAGGAGGAGGAGGAGGAATATAGAAGCTGGGTGGGCATAAGGTTTAAGTCAGAGCTTGTACTGTAGTCAAAACATAAAACCAGAAGTACAGTTCCCCTAAGGCCACCCAACAGTCACATGTACAGGAGCCAGAAAGAAAGGACGTGCCATATAGAGGGGCCATCCCAAGGTTGCTCCACCATGGCACCTTGGACACCTTGAACTGGAAAATTCTTTGTTTCTGATTAATCTTGGGATGTATGAGGAAAGTTCCTGATCTAAGCAGATAGCATCCAAAAGAATGACGATGGCAAACATAGAATACGAACCCAGACAATGGGTCGACGGCTATGGAGGCAGGTTCTCGTAAGTCGGAGTTAAACAGGAACTTCCTCTTGGTTCCGTCTAGGGTAGCTACTGAAATAGTCTTAGAAGCCGCATCAGTCCAGTAGATGGTCTTGTACACCCAATCAACAGCAATGGCTGCAGGATTATAGACATTGTCGATCATTTTAACATGTCTACCAACCTTGTCATCAATTGAGGCACTGAAACAGAATAGGTCACAAGAAATTTAAGAGTTTGACACCATTAGAGCCTGGAGAATGGGCTTTCTGCTTATAAAATGGTCAAGGGCTTTATTCAGAAAGAACTCTAGTAACACCATACCTTACCATTCAAATTATTCAACCATGCTTCTCACTCATGCTAAGTTAGTAACATTGTAGTTACTGATACATATTCTATATATGTGCAAAAGTTCTAAGTGAAGCTATTTGTTTCAGTAGCCATCATCTGAGTTTCTAAGTTCCCACTAAGAATCCCATTAAGAAAAGGCTGCTATATAATTTCTATTTATAGTATCAGTGAACTCAGTGAACTGAGTTCTCAATGAACCATAGAGAAAGGAGAGAAAATATGAGAAATTAAGATGTCATCTGCTACAGATTCACAGCTTTRGCTACCTTTTACCTTACAACAATTAGTTTCTAATTAAGAATGGACAATAATTTAATAGCTAAAGAATCAGTGTTAGATTTAATACTCCCAGATAATTAGATGCTAGATTGGAGCTAGAGATGAGAGAAACCCCTCCAAACCTTCCCACAGGCCAAGTGACAGTGACTTATGCCAAAAGCCCAGGAACAGAACTGAAAGTTACCTGAAGATGGCTTTTTGGCTGAGATCAGCCCAGAACAGTTTCTGAGCAGCAATGTCAGCATCAAGAGCTACAGTATTTCTTAGCTGTTCAACAAGTTGGATATATTCTTTTCTCTCCAAGCCAATCTTCCTGATGTCTCTTCTATTAGTGAAGATCAGACTTGGTTCTTTGCCTGAAAGATAAGTCAGGTGGACTAAATTTTGCTGTAAGATGACAAGGTCTTTCTAAGTCACCTCCTCCCAGCAGAGGAGCACTTGCAAAGCAAAGGTAGTACTGAACACCTCAGTAGTCCCTGGTCCAAAGTTCCTGCCCTGGGGACCTGCTGGTGCTTCCTATTGTTTCGGAAGGCGGTCTAGGGTTAAGCATTCCACACAAGGTGGCTGACAAACAGGTTACTTATTTGAATTGCACTTAGTTTCAGAAGCAGAAAGTAAGCAAATATGGTAAGAATTCATGGTACCATATGCAAAAGGAATGTGTGAGGAGATGGTCTGCTATGTAACCTAGCCTACTGCACTAGGAGTTTAGTAGCATTGCTCTCCAGTACTATTCAGTTTTGTATTTGGTGTGACTGTTGCAGCCACTGGTTGTACCTTTTATAAGCACTTACTTATAAAGGTACCAGAGCAACACCAGTCCAAGTCCATTTACCTACTGCCTTGCACACGCCAGTGGCAAGATCCATTTGATAGCCACGACTACATTCACACTTGTAACCTCCTTTTAGGTTGATACAAATTTGACTGCAGATTCCAGGATTTTGGCATTCATCAATATCTAGGAGGGAAATTAGAATTAGTCTTGCTGTTCCTATGCCTTGCTAGATGTATTCTGCCCTTTCCCATCTCCCCGGGGGGACTAGAATCTCTTCTTCAACTCACCTCCACAGGTTTTCCTATCTATCAGTTCAAACCCAGCTGCACAGTCACATTCGTAGCCTATAACTAAGTCTTTGCAGATATGGGAACATCCACCATTATTTACCAAGCATTCATTGACATCTGAAATAAAAATGTAGCAAAGTCACTTGACAACTTATTCTCAATTGACATTTACCCTACTCACTTAAAATTCAGGCTTTGTGATAACTGTTTAGTTGGCTTCACCAGACTCATGATTTTTCTAAGATTTAATTATTTGTTTTATAGTTATGCATCTTAGGGTGGATAGAGGGAAATGGTAAACCCAATATCCCTGGCAAGTTATCAGTTAAACAGTATTTAGTCAAGTTTCTCTATTGCCCATCAATTGTCCTTTTCTGGGGGGGGAGGTATTGGAGATTGAAACCAAGGGCACTTAACCACTGAGCCACATCCCCAGCCCTTTCCCCTTTCTATTTAGTTTTACTTTGAGACAGGGTATTATTAAGTTGCTTAGGGTTTTGCTAAATTACTTAATCTTGCTTTGAACTCATGATCCTCCTGCCTGCGCCTCTGAAGCACTGGGATTACAGGTGTGTGCCACTGTGCCTGCCCAGTTATTTTTAAGGGGGCTAAACTACAAATTAGTCTGTCACTGCCTGGATTTTCAAATCATAAAACTTAACCCTCAAGCCTAACAATTCAATTAAATTATAGTTCATTAAAAGTTTAACCAGTCATCATGCAAGATCCAAACAGCATTAGCACTATGGATTGAATCAAACTGCCCACTCTGTCCTTGAGCAACCCCTTCACTTACGACATTCTTTCAGGGGCTCATCACTCCAGTCTCTGCAGTCCTGCTCCTGGTTACACACTTTGCTGATGTCTATACATTCCCCACTTCTGCACTTGAATTTTCCAGGGCCCAAGCACTGATTGACTACAACAAGAAACAGAAGAGAGGTTCCRTTAGTGGATCTAAGCTAAGCAATCCCTTGCTTAACCAACCCCCAAAACCCTTACCATTTTTGCAATTGACTTCATCAGAACCATCAACACAGTCTCGGATGCCATTACACTGCCTGCTGCCATGGATACAGCCACCATCCTCACATTCAAATTGGTCAGGTCTGCAGGTTCGAGAAGCTACAAAAGGAGGAAACACAAAGGAATGAAGCTGGTCAAACTATCCCCAGTTGATATATGGAAGAAAACTGACCATGCCCTGCAGATAAGAAAGCTACTTACGACAGTTGACTTCATCACTACCATCTTTGCAGTCAGGGTCCCCGTCACATCGCCATTTCTTGTGGATGCACTCGCCAGAGCCACATTGGATCTCGCTGGCCGGGCACTTGGTGTGTATAACAGGCTGGCGGCCACACTGCTCAAGGGACTCATCTGACTGGTCTGAACAGTCTGCATCGTCATCACATACCCAGCTAATGGGGATGCAGGAGGAGGTGCTGCACTGGAACTCATGGGCACCGCAGGTGGGTGGGGCACAGTCCAGCTCATCGCTGCCATCATTACAGTCGTCCTGGCCATTGCACACAAAGTTCCTGGAGATGCAGCGACCACTGGAGCAAGTGAACTCATCTGGGCTACATGTTATGTTGCCTAAGAAGAGAGAAGATGCCCCATTGAAAGCACTTCAGCATTGCTCTTTTGACAAGACTCTTATCCAAAAAAGCAACTCTATTGATTTTTGATCATTAATTTTAGCTTCCAAGCTTAACTTAAAAGCTATAGCTGAGTTATATTAAGAATAAATTCTTAACATTTGAAGAAACAGTCTCACCAGGTTAAAAAAAGTATTCAGGCATACTATGAATAAGTTAAGAACAGAAATAAAGGACCAAGAAAATAGTTGAAGACTAGAAATTAATTTTGACACGAGAACCACAATTGACTCTTAGTGGGACAGTGATTAAAAATTTAAACTGTTGTAAGAGATTTCATTTTGGAAGGCAGAGATTAAATTACACCTAAATTAAATTATAATGCATGCCAGGGCCAGGTTGCACAGCATGCATTATGCAAACAGGTAACACAATACAGTAAGCATTAAGACATTATCACCAAAAAGAAGTAAGCCATACACCACTATACGTTGTTTCTTCTTTTTTTTTTTTGGTCCTTTAAATGAGGATCAACAATAATAAAGCTTAAACACTTTCAATTTTTAAAAGTCATTGCTATGGCTTGAGACACAATCTGGCCACAAGGTATGCTAATAATGATAAGCTAATCATATTAGCCAGTTTGTACTTTGACTTAAAATTCCTGCCAAACAGATAAAGGTCACAATTTGGTGGTGACTGGAATGGAGACCACGACTCTCTTGGGAAGCAATGTCTCAATTTGTGAGGGAAACASTTGGCAGCTCCAGGGCTTACCAGTATAGAAAGCTCTGAATTCCAGGATTGAACACTAAAACTCATTGGACTAGGTGCAGTGGTATTGACCTCAGGGGGTGACTTCTCCATGCAGGTCTGGCGTTTCAGCTGCCAGGGCCTGTAGACTCCCTGGTCTAGTACTGCATCAGTAGGCCACACTCATCAGACTCGGGAGCTGTATGTAGGTCTTAGAGGCCATATAAAAAGGGCGGTAGGTTGAAAGAACACTCAAAGCAATGTTTGTTCAACCTAGAGATTTTCCCAGGGCCTCACCTGTAACATGTAGTATTTTATAGATTTTCCAAGAACTGAAACATGAAAGAATAGGAAAAAGAGATAGCTTTCAGAGATAGGAACTGTGACAGGAGATAAAGATTGGGTGGAATTTTCTTCAGGAATTTCCTAGCAACAATGTTAATGTATGCCTCTCTGCCACCTTAACTTTGGGAAAAATTGTAACAGAATCTAGCTTGGGGATAAAAAATGCTTGTATAATACTCAAGTAATTTTTTTTTATTCCAATAAGCCAATCTAGTTAACACCTATGAATGTGTTTGCTGGCCCTACTCACCTTACAGTTTTATTGAACCACAGTGAGGAAGGTCTATGAATTACTATAACAGAGCCAAAAGCTCACAGGATTGCTGTTTCCCTGAGCTACTGCTAAATATAACTGCCCTGAAAGACTTACCTTCTTATTTCTATTTTCCTAAAAGAAATACCACACAATAGCTAGTTACCATGAGAATGGCTTTCAGAATTTTAGGGCAGTTATGAAGGACAAGGATTGAGCAGATAGTGAAGTCACTGAAAAGTGAGTCAATGTAAGTCTTCATGCTTAAGTTCACTTCCCTTGCCCACCCTTCTTTGAGGAAAAGGGTCTTTGGGATATGCCACTGCACACTGATCTTCTTACCACAGTTTTCTTCATCTTCTCCACTGTCACAATCATTTTCACCATCACATCTCCAGGACACTGGGATACACTGAGTAGAACGGGCGCCACAGCTGATTTCATTTATGCGGCATGTTCTCATATCTGTTGATGATATACAGTCTCAAAAGAGCCTCAAAACCGATCAGTGCAAAGCTGCTGCTCCTGCACTGCCTGGAAGTGTAACACCTGTACCTTGGTGGCCTGGCACACTGGGCAGATCCTTCGCCAGCTCTATTCCTTAGAAGCCGTGCCAATCAATGCCACCTGGCAGTGCACCTGAGAACCTTGACCATGTCACTCCTTCAAGGCTCCATGGTGTGCTCAGTTCTGGATTTTGTTTTACTTGGCATGGTTAGGTTGAATGGCTTGCCTGTTCCTAGGCCATATTTATCTCCTGGATATGAAGTGAATATCAGCCTATAGACAAAGATGTACATTTGCATGTCTATGATGTTTCTTTAGGAACAAACTATAAGGTSCCTGCTTAGCAACTATAAGTGACAAGTTTGTTAAAAGTCATGAAATCACCCAATTGCTATTCACCTTGCCCCTTCAGTAACAGCTTTTCTTTCATAATATGAAAAGCTGTGCATCTAAAAGCTTGGCCCACAGGGAACCCTCACGTCTTGACTTAGCTTCCAGGACCAGAGTACCATCTGCTCAGAGTCATTATTATCAAGCATTTGAAAATCTATGCACCTAGTCAAGGAGTTCTTAATCAAATCTGCTGGCTTCCGTCTTAAGTGTTCAAGAGTGAAGCTACCCAAGAGAATGTCAGTCTTGTTCTTTACAGGAGACTGATCAACTGTTAATAACTTCAATGACCTTGGAGTCAATTGACCTAAACTTTAAGGCAGGCAAAGGAAAATGAAKACCAAGTAGTAGATTAAGCAGTTTTTTTTTTTAATATTATGAAACACAAAACATCTTGGAAGAGTTTAAATCTGAAGCAAGTCACACTCACGGCACTGTTCTGGGCTTTCGTCAGAACCATCTTCACAGTCTGGATCCCCATCACACTGCCACCGGTTGGGAACACACTGGCCATTGTTGCACACAAAGTCAGACTCTGCACATGTCTTCTTCACTGCAAAGTTCATTCCCAAGTTAAAGTTGAAGCCACTTACCCAAGACCCCGATCCTATCTTACAGCCCCAATTACATTTTGGTATATTTCCTTTAAAAGTAAATCTGAGTTGATGGATGCTCAGTTGCCAACATTCAGGACAACTTTGGAAGACTCATATATATATATWTTTTTTTCAGATGAAGGTGTTCATTTGAGAAACTTGGATAATACCAAATTCAAGGAAAGACAAACTTTGTTCATCGTCTTTCAGGCCAGGGACACCTTACAATGAACTTCTTGCCTATTTAGAATGCTGAGATTAACTAATATTTGTATTCTCTTCATGAATTTCTTCCAAATCATTTGTGTACTGCATAAGTGTCTTGGTTCAAGCCTACTTTCTTTTTCTATAACAGGATACCTGACACTAGGTAGTTTGTAAAGGAAAGAAATATATTTTGGCTGGAAGGTGGCAGTCCAAGAACATGGCACCAGCATCGGCCCAGCTTCGGGTCAGGGCCTCCTGTGGTGCCATGACACAGTAGAAGATGGAAGGACAAGTGGATGTATGTGGAAAAGGCAAAATACAAGGGGCATCCTTGTTTGCAACAGTCTTCTCTCTCAGTAACTAACCCAGTCCAGGGAGAAAGGCTCTGTTTTCTCTTAATGACCTAAGTCACTTCTTAAATGTCCCACCACATCTCAGCACTATTACACTGGAAATAAAATTTCAGCATGAGTTTCAAAGGAGTTTCACACCACAAATAAGGACAAGAGTCCTTACCAGATACTAGATCTGCCAGGACCTTGACCCTGAGCTTCATGGGCTACACAACTGTGAGAAATACGTTTCTCTTGTCTGTGCCACACAGCCCATGGTATTTTTCTTATAGCTAAGACACTGGGCTAGGGGCATCTCTTCACAAATCATATTTTTAGTGTGTGGATAGAAGGTGAAGCCCCAGTGTTGAATACTGTCACCCTTTTTGGTATACAGGGGACAAGGAACTCATCCAATAGAAAAGGGAGAAAATTTAAAGGGAACTATGACAAGAGCTGTTTAACACTCAAGGGAGAAGATGTTTTCACCTTCCCAGTCAAAGGGTGGTGTCACATCAACCTGCTAAAAGTCACTGAAGCTGCCAGAGCTAATTCCCATAGCTTACTGCTGGTGTCAAAATAGCCCAAGGCAAGGGGTCAGTCCTACTAATTCTTCCTAGGGCAGGTCTTTCCTCTATGCTTAGGATTATAATGCAGTTCACTGTTCAAGGGGTCACTGTTAATTATGTCAGGAAAATAAGCATGAAAGACTACCCTAAGCAAACCAGGTAGCTTGGTCACCCAAACACAAATGAGCCGTAAAGTATGAAACAGTCTTGATAAAGTAGCCAGACAGGATGCCCACAGCTTTTCTTCCTTATTCTATATTCTTTCCTGGCCTAAGTTCCTATACTTTCTACTTGAGTTTCCTTTTTTTTTTTTTTTTTTTTTTTTTTTTGCGAGGGGGGGGGGTGTTGGGAGAGGACTACCAGGAATGGAACCTAGAGGTGCTTAACCACTGAGCCACATCCCCAGCCCTTATTTATTTATTTATTTATTTTGAGATAGAGTCTCACTAAGTTGCTTAGGGCCTCATTAAGTTGCTAAGGTTGGCTTTGAACTTGCAATTCTCCTGCCTCAGCCTCTTGAGCTCCTGGGATTACAGATGTGTGCCWCTACACCTGGCCTGAATTTCCATTTTGAAACATTCTTCTCTAATAAATATACTCTGCTTGTAAATCAACTAAAAGACCACAATTTGCTAAAAGTTGGAAAAGGACCACTTCAAGACAGAGGCTTAAGCAATGTAAAAGTCTCAGTATTTGGGGCTTACCCTTGGGCCACTCTAGTTAAGCCTAAGATATTGTGAAGTGGGGCTATGGTGACTATAGTCAATTTCTAGCACTCAAGATGGGTTGATGAATTATAGTAATCCAAAAAGGATTATTCATCTCCTTGAGTTAAGTAGCTATGGAAATAAGAAAGGCCATATTAGCTTAGATTCACACCTGTTTCTAAAATCACCTTCACAGAGAAGCCCCAGTGTTAACACATTCAGTGCTCTCTGAGGCCCACATTCTCTGCAGTTTGAGGAGAACCCAGAGTCAGCAGGGTTAATTGGTATAATTCAACCTATGATGTATTTCAGAATTTGCAAAAGAGGCAGTAGGGGAATGGCCATAAAGAGRGGACATGATTTCAAGAAGTAGAAAATATCATGACAACATGAAAGACTGGCTGTGGAACAAAGTGTCATACAAAGATAAAAAGGAACCAATAAATTGTTAAAGAGTTCATCTCTCTCCATCTGAGCAAACACTGGCCAGGGATGTGGAATAAAGAAAAGATATTCGAAGCTGGGCATAGTGGCACATGCCTGTGACTCTAGTAACTTAGGAGGATAAGGTTGGAGGATCCAAGTTTGAGGTCAGTCTCAGGCAGTAATAAGACCCTGTCTCAAAATAAAAAAAAAAATTAACAAAATGAACCTCAGTGACAGAATACTCCTGAGTTCATGCCTAAAAGTAATACTAATTTTAAAAAAGGAAAAGAAAAAAGGAGACATTTGAACTGGACCTTGAGATATGGATGGAAATGTCAATGTGCCACCAGGGAGGTGAACCAGCAGTTACATACTTAGGGTGTCTCAGTTACTGATTTACCAGCTCAGCCTAACATTTAAAAAAAATGAGTTACTGGGGCCAATAGAAGCACATAACTCATGGAATCTAAACTCAAGTTGACTAAATATGCTAGTTGTCATGCTTGAAAGAAAGAGCTCTGCTGAAATTGTAATCAAGTTCCCTATCAAAAGGTTAGACAGGAGAAGCAGGAGGTGGCTTTGGAAATTTTAAGTAAYTATGTAGATTTTTCCTTACATCAGGAAACATTTTAGAATAAGCAATCAGAGCTTCCTGAGTGAAGTTTCCACTTTCTTTCTCTTCTTTACATCTGTGAAACAGCAACAGATTCTGACCAATAATATATTTAAGTTCTCCTACTTCAAATGATCTTGATTTACTGTACAGTTCATCTATCTTCTTCCTTGACCCAAATCCTCCTACTATGGCTAGTAGAGGGTATTTTAGGAAAAAACAATAATTACCCTAAGATGGCCCAGGCTGGATTCTACTGAGTCAGATGATAAAAGAAGACTTCTACAGCATGAAGAGAATAATTACTTTTTAAGAAAAAGCAATGGGTTTTGCCCAATATACAATTAGAATAGGGGAAGAATTGCTCCTTAGATCAAAAGAACAGTTGAAAAGAATGAGGTCTTTCTCGTGAGATATTTGTTGAGAACTGTATTACCTAGGTAACCTAGAAATAGCATGGAACTTAATGTTTTGTGGAATAGATTAAAATCTTAGTGTTAAATGCAAATGATGGAAACGTGTAGCACAAGAGAACTATTCTTGGTCATGAGACTGGAGATAATTTTTTTTATCCAAGATTGCAGAGTGGACTTTCTATGCTTTCAAAAGAGCTGCTAATCTGCACACAGGCATGAAAACACCCATGATATTGCATCAGAAAGAGCAAGCATAAGATAATGTTTATAACATTTTAGTAATGTTGCATGAAGAAGAGGGTAAGAGCATTACAAGATGGCATTTGAAGACCCTTGTTTAGCTTCTGTTTTTCTTCTGTGTTTCTGGTGTGCATAATGAACAACTGTATACGGTATCTCTAAAAAGGTAAATGTCAATGGTAGTACCAATATTTGCACACAAAACTGCTTCAAGATTTTTACAACACAAAAGAAAGGGTTCAAAAAGGAAACTTCAGCCATGTACTTTAGGTACCTAAACGTGACCTTGGTATGTAGCTCTCAGATGTTCTGTTTGATGTGAACTCATGTAGACCGCACACACAAGCATTTTTCGCAATGATCTTTTGATACTGATCAGTGGTATGATGTTATATCCCCATTCTCTTGGGGAGAGAATGTCTTCCGCCCTGCTTAATGCTTTAGAATCAGCAACTATTGTGGGAACAGGATTAGAAATGAATCCTTATCTGATCTTTTGTCTTTGCTGGCTTGTAGTTTCTATGCCCAGAGTTAATTACCATGCCAAAACTTTGGTGGATTTTGTAGTGTCCACGACTTGCTTTCTTTTCTGGGATCAGAGCCGTTTGAGAATTTTTAAAAAGTTACTTCTAAGCAACCTCGGTTTGCCTCTATTTCTGGTCCTCCCTTCCCTTTCCTCAGCTTCCTATACCCCATATGCCAGATCTAAGATAAACCAGGTCCTGTCATCTGAAAGGAACTCCACTTTATCTTCAACATTCCATACTCAAGTTGATAACCCCGTGTCAAACACTCAATTATGTTCCTGTGGACCAGGAAGTATAGATTCTTTGGACTTGGGTTCAAAGCAATTCTTTTGTGTGTATTTTATTTGCAGCATCTCAACACATTTGTAGTAACTAAGATACCATCATCGCATTTCAGTAACATGCACGAGTCCAAGTGAGGTGACAAATGAGGTGACTGAGCTCTTCACTTACCACAGTTCTTTTCATCACTGCCGTCGACACAGTCTTCATCTCCATCACATTTCCACAGCAGGGTTATACAGCGGCCATTGGTACACTGGAATTGGGAGGGCTCACATTTGGCTTTTCTGCCTAGAATAAGGAAGTAACATTTAGCAAAGCCAGGGTAGAAAKTTAGAAATACAAGTTACTTAAAATATAGGAATGGGGACCCTAGTGGGACAGCTGCAGACTCAGGGGCCAGCATGGGATGGGCCTTTAAGACAGTGAYTGACAATAACTGAATTCTCAGTTGGGCACAGGCTAATACCAAWCGCTAGATTCCTAACCTTTCTTGCAGGGATATTAAGTTCTGGCTCATGGAATGCCAATATTAATGGAAGAAATGGAATCAAGTGCTGCATGATGTTTTGGTCAAAATGGAATGCAGATTAGGACAGTGGTCTCAAAAAACTAAACTGAAGTTAAAGAATTCCTATTGCCAGAGAATACATAGTTGAAAAATAAGGGAAAAAAAACGAGAAGAAAAAGAACCCCTAAGAAAATTCACAGTGAAGGGCTTAGCAGAACCTCTTGCAGACTTAAACAAGCTTCTTAAAAAGTTTGAAAATAGGGACCCCAATACCTAGAGGTTTTCATTAATAAAGCACAGTGCTCTGGTGCATTATCTGCTTATAGGCAAATCTACAGTGCAAAAAGGACACAAACCAAGCTCACCACCATGGATATATTTCTGAAAAGAGTGGCACCTCCTCCAGAAGAGCCCCAGGCAGGCCCTTCAGAAGGGATTCCAGAAGAAGGCTCAGAGGAGGTGACAGCTTCTGCATGTTATTGCCCCTGAAGATTTTCCTGTGGGACAAAGTGTGGAGGTAGAAGACAGGGATACTGATGCTCCTGACCCTGTGTAGACTTAGACTGATGTGCGTATTTGTATCTTAGTGTTTAACAAAAAAGTTTAAAAAGTAAAAATTACAAAAGTTTTTGTACATAGAAAAAAATTTATAGAATAAGAATATAAAGAGAATATTTTTGTACRGTGTGTTTGTGTTCTAAGTATTATTACAAAATAGTCAAAAAGTCTAAAAAGAGTTTAAAGGTTTATAAAGCCAAAAAAATTCAGTAAAGCTTAGAGATACAGCATGGTGATGGGGCACCTGCTATATAGTGTGCAGCCCCTGGGTTTCACCCCCAGCATCAAAACCCAAATAACAACAAACAGTTGCAACAAATTATGAATAATTTATTATTGAAGAAAGAAAAATCTTTTCTTTTCTTTTCTTTCTTTTTTTTTTTTTTTTTTTTTTTTGGAAATTAACGTAGCCTAAGTGCATGGTGTTTACAAAGTCAGCACAGTAATGTCCTGGGCCTTCTCTTCCCTCACCACTCACTCATTGACTCATCTAGAGCAACTTCTAGTCTTGTAAGATCCATTCATAATAAATGCCCTACACAGGTGCACAGGTTTTTATCTTTTATACCATATTTATTTTACTATACCTTTTGTTTTTAGATATACAAACACTTACTATCATGTTACAGTTGCCTACAGTATTCAGTACAATTCCCTCCTGTACATATTTATAGCCCAAGAACAGCAGGCTACACTGTATTGTTGAGGTGTATAGTGAGCCACAACATCTAGGTTTGTGTAAGTAACTACTCTGATGTCAGCACAGTGTTGAAATGGCCTAACATCACAGTTCTCAGATTGTACCTCCATTATTAAGTGATGTATGGCTGTATCCTTAAAAAATTAGGGAATCATTTTCCTTCCCTTTATTCCAGCTTGATTCCCAAAAATTGGACACGGTGGCTGGAATAGTGATTTGGGACCAAAGGAACCAGATGAAGATAAAAGGAATCTAGTTTGCCAATAGTCCACAAAGGGCACCCCATCCCCCTCTGGACTCATTCTCTCATTTGTTTAAACCATTTGTGTGGCTACAATCATGCAGCCAAATCCTAATCCTTTAATGGCATTTCTTGTCCACATCTATAATATCATTCATAAATGATGTTCCTATCACAAAGTAAAGCAGATTTAGAAAGGGATCCGCAAGAAGAGGGTAGAAAAAGAGGTTTAAGACATGGTTCCTCATCTTAGAAATTGAGGCCTAATTGGAAAAACACATTTATGAATCAGCTCTAAGACAAAAGAAACAAGGAAGTATAGTTAAGAGGCAAACGGAAATGGTTTCTAATTTAGTGATGATTGAAAAGGAAAGGAAAGGAAAGTTAAGCCACAGACCAGCATTCGGTATCTCTGAGCCCGTTCTCCTTGGCTTAGTGTTTGCTATTTAACTCATTGTAGTATGAACTAAGACTTGAAGGAGGACACTCAGTTTTTTGCCTGGCACAGGAGACAGGGGTCCCCTATCATTGACAGCTTGTCCTTCTGGAGGACATGATTGCTTTGAAATAAAAGGCACAGACCTGATTCTTAATGCCAACATGCACAAATATTTGGGAAAGCCAGAGGACTTATGTAGTGTGTGTAGATTACTGGGAGAATGGGGTTGGGGGGCGGGGGAGACTCAAGCAGAAAGCCTTCCGATTTCCTGCCACTCTCAGCATCTGCAGCTGGGACGTGCTGGCATAAGAACAGATACTATAGAGACAAGCACAGACTGGAACTCTTGTGTTATGTGCACAATACTCTAGTTGGTCTCCCTAGTATCAACCACCCCCTGCTGCTAGGCAGAATTCTATGCTTTCTGGCTAATTCTCAGGGAGATTAAAATTTGGTTCCAGTAAAGATTACCATATGGTTGTGGTTACCTTCAGGTACTAAATACATTGCTTTTAAAACTCTATCTACTATTCCAATCCCAAGAGTCCAGTCAAGCTAGGATCTAGCTGCAAAGCAATATGTTTTAATGGCATTTCCTATCAGCATTTCATAATATTTATTAATTCTATAAATATTTCAATTGAATATAAGATTCTAGGGAGTTATAATGGGAAATAAGGAGAGATAGAGATAGTTATTTAGAAGTACCACCTGTTTGTTTTCTACCACTAAGCCAGTGTGAGGTACCTGGCTGCCTCCTCCTCTTGCCCCCATTAACCATGTATGCTTAGAATATTCTTTTTTTTTTTTTTTTTAGAGAGAGAGTGAGAGAGGAGAGAGAGAGAGAGAATTTTTTAATATTTATTTTTTAGTTCTCGGCGGACACAACATCTTTGTTGGTGTGTGGTGCTRAGGATTGAACCCGGGCCGCACGCATGCCAGGCGAGCGCGCTACCGCTTGAGCCACATCCCCAGCCCAACTTAGAATATTCTTAATGTGTGGATTCATGTTCCAGGGGCCACTTGTAATAGTTCAGTGTCCTTACGACCTGTGAAGACTGTGGGAGTAGTAAGAGTCTACTTTGAGTACTTTATTTGAAAAAGTAGTAAAATAACTATTTGTAGGCAGAGAACATAGAGAACTGCTGTTAGAATACAGTGAAGATTGAAAGGCTTTGAATTTTTTGAGTGTTTTAGTTTACCAAAGGTCAAGTCAAAATGAGACAAAAGCACTGACATTGACATAGTCAGAATGATAAACATATAATCAGGCTTGGATAAAGCTTAACAGTAGATGTCAAAAGATGATTCTCCACTGTCAAATGATGTACCACTTCCAGGTCCCAAGTGAGGTACTTGGAAGACAACCTTCTTAAAAATTAGTTTTTAAGCTACAGATCTTGCAGGTGCTCAAGCTGACCTCAGATTAAATGCCAGCATACAATATTCTATTACCTCGAAGAGGTGAATTTAGTTGTAATACAAAACTACCAAGTATAATAAGTTATATTAGAATCCCAGCAATTCTGCCTCAGGAATGTATATGAAGCAAGCTCATAACAGACATAGTATTTTCTTAGTGTTCATTCCAATATCCTAAGGCAATAAGGAGTTTAATTTCTGCCTTTCTTATCCCACGTGTCCACTGCATCCAACTGCTGTCTGCCTGTCATAAAGCTGCATTTCACCATCACACAAACATGACATTCCATTTGGAAGGAGGGACAACTGGAATTAGGAGTTCAATGTACTACCAATACATGTCTAAAAGAGGGGAGAGATGAGAGTGGGAGCAGGCAGGGTAGCTGGCTTTATAAAGGATGCTTTAAAGAGGGCAAATAAAGGGGCTAGGGCTGAGGCTGGGGCTCAATGATAGGGCCTTCACCTAGCATGTGTGAGGCCCTGGGTTCAATCCTAGAACCACATAAAAATAAATAAATAAAATAAAGGTATTGTGCCCAACTACAACTAAAAAAAATTTTTTTTTTTTTTAAAAAAGAGGGCAAATAAAGACCTTAAGCTTCGTGGACATCCCTATCTGTTTACTACCTTTCTAAGCAATTTGTTTTGAGAGACTCTCATAGGCAGAAAGCTCCCTCCAGTTCCATTTAATTCCCTGCTTCATGAAGAGCAGGAAGAGCTCAAATGCTATACTGAATACTAAGATCTCAGCCACTCGATGAGAATACTGTGGGTCTTCCCTCCAAGTTCTCCCAAAGAGTCTACCTTTCCATCTTCAGTGTTCAACTGGGACTGCTACTGCACAAAGAGGTCCAGGAGAATTGAAAGCACCAAATGAGTTAAGAAGCTTTTGGTTTCTAAAGCTCTGGGGATTACAGGATTGTAGACCTGTAGTCTGTTTCTATCCATGACAGTTAAATCTCAAGTTCAGTATTATATTTTCATAAAGGGAACAGGCTGAACTTGAAATCATCAACACTCAAGGTTCTTTTTAATTCTCAGGTTAAGCTAAAGCTTAATGATACCTGAAAGAATTACCTTGGAAGTCAAAGCACTAGGTATTCTACAATCCAGGATTTTTCTGCTCAGAAAGATGAAAAGTTGGAGTAAAATAAAATTCTCAGTGGGTTCCTTATAGTCATAGTGTTTCACAGGAATTGCCCTAGGGCTTCAGGGGTACTGAAGTAAGGAGGAACTCCTTGGAGGAGGAATCCCCAGTTGTTTCACCCAGGAAGATTTTCTTTTCAATACTAGAGTTTTCTGAGATAATTTGAAAAGGGTCCTCTTACTTTAAGAAATTGCACTGTCTAGGTTTCCTTCTAGCTCTAATACTTAGTAGAATGAATATTGTGTCCCATTGGGTGAGAGGCCTTTGAGTCAT